AACCGACCAACATAGTCCAATTAAGCCAATTAAGCCCCTTTTGTTTATCCATTACAAAGATAAAATATAAAACTATTTTACAGATGTTGATAAACTATATTTTCATATATTTTCGTGGCCAAAAATTAATGATGTTGAAGAAAATGAATATACATATTAATAATTAACGTGATGTCAATTTTACTATAGATTGACAGAAATCAATGTGTTCAATTCCATTTAAACATGCTGTCGACAACACGTGAATAATGTTATTATAAAATATAAAACTATTTTACAGATGTTGATAAACTATATTTTCATATATTCTCATGGCAAAAAATTAATGATGTTGAAGAAAATTAATATACATATTTATAATTAACGTGATGTCGATTTTACTATAGATTGACAGAAATCAATGTGTTCACTTCCATTTCAACGTGCTGTCGACAGCACGTGAATAATGTTATTTATTCTCATGGACGGAAATTATATCAATTTTAGTTCGCTATTCATCCACTCACATAATTTAACTAACAATTACTTCTAATCACTTTTCTCCTACTTTAAACCAAATCAACTTTAATGATTTTATTTTATATATTATTTTAATTTAAATTTAAATTTAAATTTAAATTTCTACTAACAATTAACTGCACTATCTTATTTAAAATTAAGTGTGGTTAAAAAAATCAAATAAAAACCAATCAAATCCATATCCAATCACACCCTTAACGTTGGACCATTGTTATTATGATTTACAAAAATTCTATTGGCTTGTGAAGATATTAATAATAAAGAAAAAATATTTGGAGCATTATTTTTTCATTTAATCTATAAGGCGTAATGAGGTAATGAGTCTAATGACCACACCCATCCGAACTTGCCACTAGAGCTTTGATTCGTTGATTCTTGGTTCACTAAAATGCATAAAGACACGAAAATGGGCTACTTCAGTCTCAATGCCCATCCTGAGTTTTTAATAGTTTAATCGCACACATATCCATACAAATATTTTATTAGAAAAAATGGTACAATTACATAATAAATGTACATACATAACACTCACATGGAGTGAGGTCTATTTGTTTTTTTATTTTTGGTAGGACCTACTCAATGTGAGTGTTATGTACAATATTATGTACATATAGAGTGGGTCCTACCAAAAAAATAAAAATTAAGTGGACCCCACTTCATGTGAGAGTTATGTATACTTCTATACGTTTATTATGTACTTGTAGCATTTTTCTAAAATAACTAATATGCACACACACTGTCGAATTCATCCACAATAATGTTGTAATAAAACATAAAATCATTTATTTATTGCCAACTTTTGAGCTAAGATTTATTGCAATTGATTTGCAGTGGTCCCTTAGGATTGTGGTCCATGTTCTAATTCTTTATATGTGAACTGCACAGTGCACACACACAAATATATTAAAAAGGAAAAAGGAAAAAAAGATTCAAAAAATGAAACTGCACACATTTAGTATATCTTGAAGAAATTTAAAAGGTCAATTTTGTAATTGAATGTCGTAAATGGGCCGGGTTTATATACTAAACTAATAAATTTTAGGAAGGTACATTGTCAATTTTCTCTTTCAGAAGACAATTCATGAATGGCCCATTTAGTTCTAACAATAGGTTGGGTCAATCTGATGAAGATCGTGTATCGAGACTCGATTTTGTATAGGAACTCGCGCTAACGGCCTTGGTTCGAACACGATAAAAGTGAAAACCTGCACTAAGGCTATCGATTTAACACGAGGATTTGCGCTCGAAGACGAGCTTTTTCTTATTTGTTATTTCATAATCCTAAAGATATAAAATTGCAGAGTACTTGATACGTCTTCTTCCCTACAGTTCACACATAATTCAAATGAAAAACTGACGAGAAACTACTAAAAAAAATTGCTTGACATCGTGCAGAAATAATGGCACGTTGCGGCGTTACACTAGGGAAGTGGCGCGGCGTGGCGAGCTTAACGGCGCGACACACGAATCCTCCATCTTCTCTGTTGGCCCATTACGGTCTCCGCGAGCTGCACTGCGGTGTGACGCTACGGGAAGGCTCGCAGCTTGAGAAGGTCCGCGACGTGACATGGGCCGTGGCGATCTGTTGTTGTTGCTTTGGCTTTGACCTGCTGCATATGAGTTTGTCACGTTTGGGCCTGTTGCTCGATGGGCTTGTCCCAGATGGGCCTGTCGTGACTAAATTCTCATCATCTTCCTACATATATATTAACAATGGGAAATTTTTATCTGTCCCACAATTAGGAAAATTTTGCTAATCTATTATACAACTACAATTAATTACGTTTTTACCTAAAAGATATGATTGATCAAAATTAATGCCTAAAATCAGTTACCATATCATTCCAACCTCCACCCTTGTTTTCCGCTTGGTTTGCGTCGATTACTAAAAAAAATGCTTGATTAAGAGAGAGAAATGAAAACATGCATATTATAAGTAACTGACTCTCTTAAGTCACGCAACTTAGGCGTTTTTAAGAGAGATAAATAAAAAGTTGTATTGTAATTCACGTAGTTGCAAGGTGTTTTGAATGAACAATATATATTGCATTTATAGTTAGTATATATTCAGTAAATGTTGCAATAATCTACTGACGGTATATGTAGTGTTTACTTGACTAAAATATTTGGTTTTGTATTTTTTTTCTTTTGGTCGTTTCTTTAACTGTAATTTACTGGCGGTATATGTATTCTTTTTTTTTTTCATAAAAATTGCAGCTACAATGAACTATATGTCGTCGCGTTTATAGTGATTAAATTTTTTCAGCTCTCAGTTGTATTGAATGGTAAGTATATATTACGTTTATAGTTAGTATATATTGACTATATGTTGCAATAATCTCCTAATATACCAAAACAACAAAAAAATAATAAATTGGTATTTGTCAATTCGTCTTCAACAAAAAAATATCCTAATATACCAAACATAAACTATGAATAAAACATCAAACAAATTTTGAAAAAAAAAAACATCAATTCATAAAAAGTATTCAACAATTAAAAATAAACAAAATAAAACAAAAAAAAAACCCCATTGATATACATAATTATGAGAAATATCCAAAACAACATAAACAATAATCAAACAAATTAGTCATTTGTCAATTTCGTCGTTACAATAAGAAAAAATCTAATACGCCAAACAAAAACTACGAATAAACATCCAATAAACATTGAAACAGATCGTGAAAACCTTCTAATATACCAAACATAAATTATGAATAAACATTAAATAAACAATGAAAGGGGCTTATTTACATGAATCTATGGGGTCGCATATACTATTTTATCATGTACTTTGTTTGTACATAATTAATAAATTTAGCATTATATATGACAATAACATAATAACTGTTTGGAAAGGGGCTTAACTTTACAAGGAAAAAATAATCTCTGAAACCTCCAGTCCATACCAAACCTCCCGGTTAACCCAAATATGCCAACCGAAAAATTAGTTCGATTTGGAGATTTCTTCGCACCGGTTCAATTTTGAAGATCCAATTTTGGAAATCTCTGAATTTTTGGACGGTTTTGGAGATTTAGCCCTACTTATTACTTGTGCAGATAATTCTTTTATGTGCGTTTGATATATATCATTAGGTCTTGTAGTGTGATTTTTTGTTTTCTAATGAATACTTATTTGTCTCATCTTTTATATGTATGAATTACAATATTAAATGTATTCTCAATTTAATAGTGAGGCTAATTTGTAAAATTATAAATTATGCGAGTAATGTTGAAAAGTTGTGGAAATTGATGTGAAATAGAATAATGATGTAATATATTTTTGGACCTTAGAATATATTTAATGGTTATATAAAATTAATGTTTGATGTGACAACTATTGCAAAATACCAAACAAGCTAAAAACTTAAACACTCCATAAACATGACATTCTAATTATGGAGGTTAACATTAATACACAAATAAAAAACAAATAAATAAATAGCCAAAATAACTACCACAACAAAATCAACACACAAAATCGGTATCTCAATCCAGAGAAATACTATGGAGTCAATGGTTGGCTCCTTTATGGAGCCAACCACCAATGTTATAGTGCCACGTAGGCCATGTGGAGTTAATTATTTTTTCACATGGCCTACGTGGCACTATATCCACATGGTCTACGTGGCACTATAACATTGGTGGTTGACTCTATAAAGGAGCCAACTATTGACTCCATAGTATTTCTCATCAATCCAATGACAAAATGAGATCCGAAGATTAATTTAAAACTCTCAAACCTGAAGCTTCAATTTAAAATTCGAAAGACTTTCCAATATAACGAAAAGTGGAACAAAAACTCCAAATCTCATCCCAAAATATGAAGTCCTAAAGAAGATAGAGACTTGTAGCCTAATTCATTGATCTTTTTCGTAGTCGCTTTTAGTCATAGGCTATCCATCTTTCGGTTTGTTGCAAAAGGCCGAGGGGTACCCAATTTTGATTTCTTTCTCATTCATCTCAAAATTTTCAGCCTCATGATCACATTTTTTAGCAAGAGAACTTAAATGAATTTCTTCAGGACTGCCTTCCATTTCGGCATCAGTTGACGCCAAAGGCTCTTGTTTGATGCATATTTTGCCTTCATCATCACTGTTTAGTTGTGATTCCAGCTTGTAATTTGCAGCACAAAACAAACAAGATAAAATAAAATAAGCTGTTTTAGGCCAACTAATAAATAGCTTAGCAGTTGATCAGTTTTTTGTTTATGAAAATTAAATTCAGTCCCAAAACTTTGGGCTCGAAACATTCCCTGAATCTTGGACTTCAGACACAAAACTTTGGGCTCGAAACAGTCTGTACTTTTATTAAAGTTTCATTTTGAACCTTTATTAAAACATTTAGGGCATATTTGCATCTAAATCCTTTTTTGGGTGCATATTTAAGGACATTGAAAAAATCAACTTCAACTTTAGTAGGCTTAAATGTGAAGTGTGATTTATGCACCCAGGTGCGGACGCAGACTCTAAATACAAGGGGGCACAAACTACGATCAACGGTCTACGCCGGAAGTCAAGGTCAAATCAATATTTAATCAACTAAAAAAATAAAAATATTTAAATTTTGACCAGACACATTGTTTCTTATTTAATAGTTAGGTAGAGTCTCATATTCTCATTTTAAGAAAAGGACACATTTTATCCAATTCCTATATAGTATATACATTTATGTATAATATTTGTTTTTTTATATATTTTGGGAGGAAAAAGGAAATAAACAAGTTGAGTATGACATAAGCATAAATTTCATAACTTAAAAAATAACATACTATTGAGGGTTAAATAATTCTAAATATTTTATTTTTATTTTTTTGCATTAAAATAACTTTTCATAATAATTAATAACATGTATTTTTTTATGTTAATATAATAACACATTTATACATATAACATGTATATATTATCTTACCAAAAATTCTAGAGGGCTCGTGCTCCTACAAGCCCCTATGTAGTTCCGCCATTGTATACACCATTGAATTACACAGACTCATGTGGTTGTGTGTGTTGATCCAAAGGTATAAATCCCTCGGGAATATACGAATTTTCTTGCCAAACAATTAAACATATAAACACCAACAAATAATATAAATAAATAAATAAATAAAACAATGATTACCTCATTGATTAAAGATTGATCTCCTTTTGTAGAGCCTCATACTTGTGCTTGAGAGCATCATGATTGGCCTTGAGAAGGCTGTAACCCTTCTCCAACTGCTTTATGATCCAGCCTTGTGCGGCCGGTTTTGGAACCACATGGCCACATGTCTCGGCTGCAGCCCGAGCTTTCAGGCCAGCCTCACTTTCCTGTCGGGCTCCAGTTTATTCTCCACATCGAAGTACTGCTCCAGTTAATTTTGAAAAGGTTGGTATGACTAATTGTTAGTAGAATTTTAAGTTTGTATTAAATAATATTGAAAATAAAATGATTAAAATTGATTTGATGTAAAAGTAAGAGACGTATGATTGAAAGTTTAAAAATATATGAGTGGATAATTAGCTAACTAAAATTGATGTGATGTGTGAGGATAATTGATTGATATTATTTAATTATATTGATAATATTAAGAATAGTGTGGTTGAGTTAAAATTGAGTTAATTTTTATTTTTATTTTTTCGGATAATTGATAAACAAGCAAACCCTCATGCTTATTACCACAATAGTGAAGGCTCATTTGTTTTTTATGATAAGATAAGATTATTTTATTTTGGGTGACATTATTAGTTATTAATTACTATACTTTGGGAATTAAAATGAATCTACGTTTGTTGATATTGTTGTCAATGACTACTCGTAAAATAAGATTTGTGTAAAAGTTGCTTCTTTTGTTTGTTTCTCAGGGTAATAGTTTAAAATAAAATATAAATTTACCAATTCATCCTTCACAGTAACACACAATAATTTTCAGATCAAACATAACAACAATTAATAATTAATAACGAGATTGACACTGAAATTATAACTTAGAATATATACTTTGGAAAATGAGGGAAGAACAAAAAGATCCACTTTAGAGTTCTACCATGTTCGCATGTAGGGCTGGTATTTTTTTACTAAAAACCGAAAATGAACTGAAACGAATCGAACCGAATCAACCAGAAAGTAAACCAAATCAAACTGAATTGTTTGTAACAGTAACCGATATTCGACTATTGAATTAATATCGGTTCTGAAATAATAATATAACTTACTATATAGCATTTATATAACTTATAATAACTTATATATCTCAGTACTCAGAGTTTATATTTATAAAATAAGCCAGTTAGTAAGATGTTGAATAATATTTATTTAAAGATTAGGTATTTGTTTAAAGAAAAAATATATATTCCCCACCCAAAATTTAAAATTGTCAAATCCCATGCTCCAACTAAGTGTGTAGAATTTGGCAACCGACCGAACACAAAATTTCGGTTCGGTTTTTATCCGACTCGGTCGGTTTTCGATTTTTAGCCCTCAGAAATTCGGTTATTTCGGTCGGTTTCGATTTTCAGACTTTAATTATCTGAAAAAACTGAACCGACGTATATATATATATGTATATATATATATATTACTTTCTCCTATTTTTAATAAATGTAGTTTTGAGAAATTGCACAATAATTAAGAATATTTTTTTTGTCAATAATACCCTCATTAATGAGGATAAAGATTGATGTTTTAAGAAAAGATGAAGAATAAATATGAAAAGAGGTAGTGTATTTATTAGTTAAATAAAGGTAATGATGAAAAAATATGTACAAAATAGCAAAACGATATTTATTTAATAAATAATCAATTAAGATAGGTAATAAAAATAAGAGGAAGTATTATATTATATATTATAATATAATATTTCAATACCTTAAATCCCTAATCCTAAGCATACAGGCAGAATACATACTACACACAAAAAAAAAGAAAAAGAACCCCGTCGGTCTCCTCCTCTCCCTACTCTCTTCAACAATTCCTTCGTCGTCCCCAAATCTTCCGCCGCCGGCGCGCCGCTCCTTCTCCCTAAATCGCCCCAACCTGAATCATCCCCCAATTACCAAATCGTCTTCTCCGGTTCAAGTAGCTGCGTCTGCGACTCCTTGTTGCCGGTCGTCGATTCGTCAGTCGAGGGCTGAGCTTGGAGGTTTTGGCCGGGCACACGGTTGTTCACCATCAAGGGAGAAAGTCTTCTCCCAATTTTTCGTCTCTCCCAAAATCTAAGTTCCATTATCAAGGTAAAGTCTTTTTTGTTTTATTGTCTAATNTTCTGGTAAACAATACTAAAAAAGTTGTTTTTGTAAAAGTTAGGTTAACCGACCGGATAATTCGGTTCGGTTATACTTCGGTTTTAAGCACATCGGTCGGTCGGTTTGGTTTTTGACATATAGTGATTCGGTTAATTCGGTTTTTGTATTTCGGTTCGGTCGACCGATGAACACGGCCCCCAACCAAACCCAAATAGCAACACCAATCTGAGAGACCGAGAGTAAACTAATGAATTTTTGGTTTCACTGATTCACAAATTTCACACCTTAGTTCTCAATTCGCGATTGTTCATTCACAAAGCCGAGCTCGAAGGTAGGGGCCGTAGGGTACTGGTAGTCGCAATTTGTCAACTGGAGCCGCAGCCGCGATTGGCCGTTCGCTTCTGTCACTCGTCGGAGTCGCTTCTGTCAGTCCTCGGCTGGTATTTATGCTGCAACCTTTTTTCTCATTCTTGTAAAATTAGGACTGGTATTTATGCTTATGCCTGTAATTTGTTAATTCGTATGCCTACAATAAATTAGGGCCGGTATTCCATATTTTATATCTGCAATTTGAACGTAGAACAAAGTGCTTTTTGGATTTTGGGCTTGGCGGTCTCTGCTCTGGCACTCTGTTTAGTCTGCCATCTGTTTTCTCATTACAGATTTGTAATGGGCTTGGCCCCCACTGGGCTGCAGACTAGTGTTGGAGACCCAATGTCGGTATTTTTGGGTATGAACAGAAACTGAACTCGGTTACCGACTACAAGTCGGTTCGGTTTCCTAGTTTATTGTTACCAAAAATGGCGGTTCGGTATCGCTTTGGCCTTATCGGTTAGGTAACCGAACCGATACCAACCCTATTCACATGTGCAAAGAAATCAAAAGGTGAATAAACATGAAACATGTGGATGAACTATAAAGAAACAGAACACCAAATGCCACAAGAAAATAGACAAAAAGATTTGAAAAAGTAAACTAATAAGTGGGCTCCATGAACAGAAACATTCAAAATTTTACATGGATACGAATATCGAATCATGGACTTTAGAGAGCAATAGTTGCAGATTACAACACAAAGAGTGCAATGTTGTGAGGGGGTATGTAGAGTACGCTACAGGTGTTTAAATACAAAATCAAATGCAGAAGCAATGAATAAACAAAATGCCTTCGAGGAGCGTCTCACTACCCCTCATAGCTTTTTCATTAATAGACTTACCTGTTTGTTTTTTCTCCTTCTCCTTTTTACTGTTCAAACTTGGGGTTTGAAGCTGTATGCTTTTTATATGCTGTTTTTTTCGGCCATTTTCTTTTCCAATCTTCTAGGCATACACTTTATCAGCATGGAACTCTGTGGTGAATTGTTTAAAAGGAGATCAGTACCTCATTATGTAATCTTGTTGATAGCAATAAGATAATCTTTCCCTGGCTGCTGTGATTGGCTATGAAAACATAATGTAAAACTGCGAACTAGTAGCCCTCATAACACCTGCATATACTAAACCATGCATGAATTTCTCTTTCGATTTTCATTTACTTCATAAATTCTAAAATTTTTCTTTCCTTTCCCCCTCTGTGTATATCCAGGTATAATCAATAAAATTCCAGTATGGATTCTGAAGTCGACCATTATAGTGTTCTGGGATTGCCGTCTGGCGAGGAAGGTTCCAAGCTTACCGATCAAGAGATCAACAAAGCCTACCGATCCAAGGCCCGCGAGCTGCATCCCGACAAGAGGCGTGACGACCCTAATGCGCACGCCAATTTTCTAAAGCTCCAGACTTCGTATGAAGTCCTCAAGGACGAAAAGGCCCGTAAATTGTTCGACGACCTACTCAGAGTGAAAAGAGAAAAGCTCAAACGTCAGGGGCAACAAGATTCCAAGCGCCGGAAGATGATGTCAGATCTCGAGGAAAGGGAGAGGTCTGCTTTCGCCGTGGACCCCACAGTGAGAGCTCGGGAGGAAGAGGAGATGATATCCCGAAAGCTGAAGGATGAGATCAATAGAATTCGAGCAATGCACAAGAAGACTATGCCGGATGATGCAAAGCCTTTTGGGGGAGATTTGAGAGAAAAGGGAAAAGAAGGAGGTGATGGTAGGGGTGTGGCATTGGATAAGGAGAAGGTTCTTAAAGTGTCGTGGGAGAAGGTTGGAAAAGAGTACACGGCTCAGGGGCTTAGGGAAATTTTCGAGGAATTTGGTGGTGTGGAAGATGTGGTCATCAAGAGCTCCAAGAAGAAAGGGTCGGCTCTTGTGGTGATGGCGTCCAAGGATGGTGCCGTAAGTTTGGCCTAATTTGACTCTTTGTGTTTAATTACATTTTTTTTTTCTTTTTTACCTTTTTCTTAAGAGAAGTTCTGCTTGGGCAGGTTGCTGCTATTGGGAATGTGTTGGGTAATCTTTCGAATCCTTTGTTAGTTTTGCCTCTACAACCGGCAGCATCACCAGTCGTTTTTAGTGCGGATAAAAATGAGGCCGATGGCCCAAAACTGAGCAATCTTGTTGGTGCTGGATATCAGGCACGCGAAGATTCGATTCTCGAGAAAATGAGAAAGGTATAGAAACTGATTTATGTTACTACTGATGTTAAACCGATAAGGGATTTGGTGTTTTTGAGTTTGTTAGTTGTTACCTTTGTTAATGCTACTTGGGTGTGCGTATTAGGCAGTCCTCGTAAATCAAATTATTATTATTATTATTATTATTATTATTATTTTTTTTTTTTTTNGTATTGCAAGTTTTTGCTAAACATTTATATGTTTTTTTCTATGCCGACAGGCTGCACAGAGGCAGAAGTGACACCTGAGATGAATAGTTCTGACAACAGGTAGCAATTCGGAAAAATTGTATACATTACAGTAGCCATCGATCGAAAGTGTTGGGTTTGCCTATGACAATCATAGGGTTCTTCATATTTTGTCACAAGTCATAACACTTTCATTTCATGTTTGTAAGGATAGCAATACTTTTGCAGTAATTCAATGCCGGAGGGATATGATATTTCCAGAATGAGTATATTTCTGCTGTTAAGCTCTTGAAATTAGCAGCCGTATGTATAATTGGTGTATCATATCATATACAATCATATAAATATTTAACGAGACAGATTTATACACAGATTTGTTATTGGGAATTGAGAGCTGAATTGCATCTTCGTGGTATGTAGTGCAACTGTTGCAGATTATATTGATTACTAGCACATTATGTCTTAGCATGTGCACCAAAAAATAATATAAGTTATGTTTATGAGAAATAATATTTTAGTTATCCAACAACACAATATAATACTTCCTCTATTTTGTTTTAAATGCCATTATAGATTAATTTGTCCTTTTTTTAATTACTTATTGTTTTAGACTACTGTTCCAACTATATCAATATAATGATCTTTTAAAAAATCTAACAATTTCAATTTATCATAAATTCTTTATTATCTTAACATTATTAGGAAAAAGATATTTAAAAGTGTGATTTAGGAAAAGATTTAATGGAGAGTATATTTGGCGAATAAATACATTGTTAATTCATCAACTATATTGAAACATATGGAGTAAAAAATTGTGAAAAACATAATTATTTATTAATCTAATAGAGATTAATATTTTGAAAATGTAAGACAAAAGGGAGTAAAGGTAGTAATGGTACTTAGCAGTAATAAAATATTAGTAATTTAAGAAAATGGCATGTATAGTTATGTTAGATTTAAAAAATTATAAGAGTCATATTTATAAAATAACGATATGTATTGTGTGGAAAATTTCAAAATTTCTGTCTTAATAATCATCTCAAATTCTGTATATAGATATCCAAATTGGCTTTTACCATGTCATATCTTCTTTGACTATATGTCTATATCTTCATTGAAACAGTAATAATATTTTGACTTGAGTCTCATGAACATATTAATTTTAAATTGTTGGGAAATAAGATCTAAACTAAAAGATGTCGAATTTTAATGTGGACACCATCAAAAGATTTTCAGTTTTGACGGTAGTGTTGATGTGGTAATGTGAGTACATACATACAAAGACACCTTATTAGCAAATTTCCTACTATTGATAAATCTGACATACACAAACCATACAAATATACAATAGAGAGGAGGTGTAAATGTGTTCTAGTTGATTGAATATGGAGTTTTTATTGAGTCAAGCCGAACCTCATTATTAACTAGCCAATGAATAGTAAATATTATTAAATATGTGCGGTAAATAACTAGTTTATATTTTTCAATTGTGTTAATAAGATTGAGAAAACAAAAGTTGGTAAATCAAACTCCAGCACGATACTCAAACTTAGGGTCAATTAGTTTCAAGTCGGAGTGAACTTGACTCGGTAAAAGTCTAATGTAAAATTTCAAACAATTGCCAGAGCCATCCCCTGCCACGTGTCATTAAACCACCACATTCAGCCAAACACGCGCGCACACACCCAACAAAACCCACACTCGATATCAACGAAAATAAAGGCGAATAATACAAAACAAAATTATCCTCTTCAAGAAACAAAATCGGAGAAAATCCCAACTCAATTTCGAGCTATGGAGAACAAATCCTCAATTATCAATAACAACTGCAATAACTACTTAGCCCTTATATCCCTACTCACCGCGACACACGCCGCTTTCCGAAAACCGCCAATCGACGATCGGCCGCCGGCCCGGTAAAAAATTAGAGCGATGATCGCCGTCCGAGAGGACAACAGATACACCAGCCTGAAGGACCTGCTGCCGGATTCTCCGCCGGCAGCGGCGATCAGCCGCGGAGACAGCTGGCGCGAGATCCAGATCAAGGATCCTCTGCTGCAGCACGCGGCGTGGGCGTACCTGCAGCCGATGGCGGTGGAGCGCGGCGGCAGAGAGCGGTGGTGGAGCGGCTTCGTCGGGAAGTGCTGCGGGCTGCTCGGGTGCCTCAACGACATCGTGATGGTGGTGTTTGGGTTCGGCGCGTGGGAGCTTGCGGTCGATGATAAAATCTGATCGGGATTTTGGGAGAGAATTCCGGGTTGATCTCAACCGTTGGATCTGGGGGCTCTGTGATTGTGTGTCGAAGGCACTATACACGGATAGAGTCAAATTTGTCGAGAATGCCATTTT